GGAGGCGGGTCTCTCTCCAACCATTCCGAAGAGCCGAGATCTCGTAAAGGAAAAATGAGTGAGCTCAGCTGGTTTGGACCTGCGTGAATAAGTTCAGTGAAGTAAGGGAGCCTTCAGGCTTTTCCAAGCCGGCGGCTCATGGCTCGCTCAGTTCGCTCGCGGAGTTATTTAGATCAGTAGATCTATCTATAGATCTGGATAGAGTCTCGCTCAGAAAGGAAGAGTAGCGCGCTTAGCACTCAGTGCCAGCAAGACCTTGCATGCGTGGACAAATGGTCAGATGGTCAGGAAGAAGGTGAAAGAAAAGTGACATGGGTTGTCAGTCAGCCTTTCTTTCTCAGCTCACTAGACGGGGAATATGCGTACAGTAGAAAAAGCTTGAACTTGAAGCAACTAGCAATGCTACCATCAATCAAGGTTTGACCAACCAACCCTGCCATCCTAGAGCATTAGCGTACAATAAGGGCATTTTGAAATTGAGTGAGTCACACATTTTATCTCAGATGTAGAATAGAAGTTTTCTTCCTATTTCTTTGGTTTTGAGTTGGCTGCACTTTGGGTTTCACATAAGATCCGCAGTCTACCCGAGGCTATCGTTCACTGGGGCACGAGAGAACCAAAGGTCAGTACAGTACCTCTTCTCTTTCTTATTGAAGGGGTTCTTTGGAGATAGCTCTGGTTCGTGCGCATTAGAAGTCGAAATGAGTGAAACACCTTGCCTCAGTGCTTCGATCCCATTACGGTCAAGACAGCAAGCAAGGCGATAGTTGTGGAGGATGGTAGTGAATGAAGAAGGAATCCCTAACCTCAAAGCGAGAGCACTGACCTCCCACACGGAGTTTTGATGGCTGGGTCTAGCGAATTGAACTATAGAGCCAGCAAAAAGCCTTCTATTCTGTCGGCCGCTCAAACCAACTGACGATACGGAGGAGCGTACCGTATGGATTGACGAAAAAAGTTTCAGCACAATAGGTAGAACGAGAATTGAACTCACTTGTGTACCATTTTTTGAGAAAGACCGATGCGATGCCGTTCCTACCTTTTAGGTAGTCGCATGATCAATTGATTTCAGACAATAGATCGCTTCTCCAATCCGTGATAATGATAATGTGCCATGTGCTTTCAGTTCTTCGTACGCTGAGAAACGAGAATGACTTCTTTTGGTCGAATAAGATAGACTTTTGCTTCCAAAAAAACATAGGTAATCCCGGAAGTGAACTATGTCAAGCCCGTTTGTCTGCCCTAGCCATAAAAAGGAATCTCTTATGTTGAAGCGAATGATCAAACTGACATCCCCCTATGCGGCTCCCCTGCCATTCCAGCCAGATAAAGCAATGAGTCAGAGGAGGAACATGAAAAAATGACAAAACAAAAACTACTCATCTAGCGCCTTGTTAAAGCCCTCGGTAGGTAGTTCTTCCTCCTAAGCTACAAGCGTGAGACCGCCAGGCGCCAGGGAACTCATATCGAAAAAACTACTTGCATAGAATAAGAAAGAAGTCTGGTGTATTTTGCGATCGGATGGAATCTAGCCTGACAAGCAGGCAATGGGAGTTTGAACCCCCCTCGATCTATTCTATGGTGAGTCAAGCGCGTCTTGCGAGTCAAGAGAGGGATGGGATCAAGGCCCACAAAATCTTCCCGTGCACCGACGCGCCTAGGGAGGCAACCTGTTCGACGTCAGAACCGATCTCTCAACTTTCTTTTCGATCTGGTCCGAGATATGGTCGATCAGTCTCTCATCCTCTATCGTCGTATCGTAGGGAAATAGCGTAATAAAGAAAGCGAAAGTGAGGCTCGAGAGGAGACTTGTTGAGAAACATCCGGGATCACCGAGATGACCCGGCGGGTTTCAACTGGGAGTGGTTCTTCATCTTCCTCCTTTGCTTTGCTTATCCGGAGCTCGGACATGAATTCGGCAAGCCTGACGGGCTGCCTTGCCGGCTGGCGGTAGTCCTCCAGATTGTTAATGATTTTTTGAGTGGTGGACTTCTTCTTCTTCGACTTCTTTCGCCGGGCTGGCATTTTGGATTTTTTTGAACAGGCTGCCCCCTGTGCTGGGATAGGCTAGCTTGCTCCTGTAAGTTGCACCTTGCTTGGTGGTGGTTTGAAGATGGAGGTATTTTGGCGTTGTCTTTCTTCCAACTTCAGCACTGGTTCGGTTGGAGATCTCCACTGAACGCCAGGAACACCTTCAAGCTCCTTTAGCATTTTCTTGGTTTTATTTGAGACGACAGTCTCCCACTCTTCATCTCGTGTCGGCTTTTCTTGTATCATTTGTGTTGGAGCTGGCGGTATGGAGGAAGACGTCACCACCTTTGCCGACTCCTTCTTCGGGTGCACCAAGACGCTATTCGAGAGCGTAAATTCCCCGTTTTCCTCTCCAACCAGTCGACATAGCAATCTTCAATAGGATGGTTGACTACCTGATGATATGGGCAGTAGTTTGGGTCATTGGTTCTATCAGCCTCCTCAGGTCTTTTCGACTCTGGTAGTTGACCAGCCTTGAACGCTTCTCGGAACATTTTTTCCACACTGTCCCTTTGGAATGAGTCTTCTTTCTTCATTCTTTCTTTCAGGGATGAAAAGTTGCGCTCCTCCTGATGCTGGTCTGGGACGTTCACCGCCGCTAGTCAAGGGGTATAGGCTTGTCCATTTCCTCCAAGCACCAGTTTTGGTTGAGGTTTGACCTTAGCATTGACCAGTTGCTTTCCTTTGTCAACATTCTAAATGGAGGCGGGCTTTTTTCCTTTGTCGACACTGTAAGAGGAGGCGGTGTGCACTTCACCCTTTTTGGTATCTGGAGCTTTACTTCGTTTGGATTTTTCTGGATGACCCTCGGATTTTGATCAGTTCAGTTTTGCCACCCGGTCCAGTAGCTCCTGGAATGTTGTGATTGAGGCCATACATAAGTATGGAAGGAACCATTCGATCATCGATATTAGCAGTTGGACAGCATGTTCTTCCTCCAGCTGTTGCTCGCATTTCAGACTCATGTTTAGCGGGTAATGGTAATGTACTTTGTCACTGACTCATCCTTTCTGCGCTTCTCTATGGCAACTATGGCAAGGTAAGCGATCGTTGTTTTTTCAGTCGCGCTGGCGAATCTCTTGACAAACATCCCTTCTCACTCAGCTAATGTTTTGATAGAGTCATTCGGTAGTTCAGCATACCATTTGAAAGCAGTACTACTGACGAACTGGCGGAAGAGCAGAGCATCTATGCCTCCAGTGTTGCCGCAGGTCGCCTTAAACTGGGCCAGATGCTGTCTCGGATTGCCATTGCCATGAAAAGTGTGGAATTTTGGTACCGAGTATCCTTTGGGATATGGCACCTGGTCATACTCTGCTGGATACGGACGACCCTTGCCCACCAGCTTTTCTGCTTGCTCTGAAGCTATGACTGCTTTCATTTTGTCGTTGATAAGAGTTTCAAGCTGAGATGCAGTGAATGCTTCGGAGGTGGCCTTATTTTCTTGAAGTGAAAAAAAAAACTAGCGCCTTCATAGGTCAATGTCTAAATAAATGTAATATATACTATAAAAGATTCAGAAAAGAAAAGAATCGAAATTTCTCATGTGATTGAACATGTGAAGTAAAGATTGAGAACAATTTTGATTTTCCTTCAATTCTTCGAAACAGATTTATCCAATATAAAATAATACCTTAATTCTTTTATTTTGTACAAAAGGTTCATTTCCCCGGCCTGGTTAAGTACTTTAGGGCCAGTACTTCTTTTGTTCCAACGAAGAAAAATTGTTATTGAAACAAGAAGAGTAATTTGAATTGCCATTCCTAATTCTTCTCAATTCGATAAGATTCTCTTAGATAGATTATCTGAGAAATTCTTTCAGAAATTCGATATATAGAAAGAAATCTCTTTTCTTCTATATAGAAATCTAATCTATTCTATATAGAAAGAGTAAAGAATAGTATAGAGTCTTTCGAGTCTATAGTAATATATTCGTACTCTTTTTCGTCTTTCTTTTCTTCTTCTTCAATCTCAAATTGAGAAAATTAGGAAATTCATTAATGGAAAACGAATTGAATGATAAATGAAAATTGAAGTTCAGTATTCTATTCATCTGAATAATTCACTTAAGAAGTCTGAAGAAAGAAAAGAAATCGATCTTATAAGAGAAAGAATATCAAATAGAAAACACATATTTATAAAATGAGACTCTAAATCATTGACTTGTTCAAAGCAAAGGACAAGCTTGAAAGTTTGAGGCCCAATTTACCCGAATTCAGAAAATCTGGCGGTTCAAATGAAGAGAGGTTTCAAAAAAGAAAAAAGGCTGTGTTTTGACTTTGAGCTCTCTAGGATCGAAAATCATGCATTGGATTGATGCCCGGGAACTCTCACTTCACTGTAAAGGTAAAGAGAGAAATCCCGAGAGTGGATGTCACAGTATTTGAAGCAAGGGTCACACTAAATGGACAGCTTCTAGGTTAGAGAGATCCTGCTTTCCTTCCTGGAAGAGAACTCCGAATGATGTTTCCAACATTTGGACCTTTCCTGACAGGAACCTAGACTGAAAGTCCTTCGTGTTAACGTGTTAACCACTTCAACTAGCGCTTTCACTGTCTAACTGTCTCAGTACAATGAAACTCTCGCTTCTTCAAGCCAAGCCTTCCCTAGCCAGTCATTCAGTCGTAGACGGAGCTTAGTCACTCGCGGGGATTAGTCATCTCTTTCTGCTTGTGTCCCATCGGGGATCATAGACCAATAAAGAGAGAGGCCAGTCTTGCTACTCACCATAGGACTTCCCTGGGAAGACGGGATGGGGTAAGCCAATCTGAATATTCCAGTGCCGACTGCATGTACGACTAATTCTTAGATGCTATATAGAATGATGATTTTCTTCGCTGTCGCTCATAGGATTCGGCTCATCATCTTCTCATGAGCTTTGACATGATGATATAACTCAGTCTTGCCAAGAGCGTTGTACACGAGCCATCGTTGCTCGGATTGGAGAGCTCCCCCGGTCAGAGACTTTCTTTCATCTGTGCAGGCTGCTTTCTCCGCTTTCTAATACAAGAGTGAATCTGTCCTTACTTGACTTGCAGTTCCCCTCCTTGACTATGAGATTCTTCCAGCTGATTGGGAAAAAGGGGGCAGTTACTCTTGAGCCTGGAACTTGAATTAGACGTAGATGAAAAACCTGGATAGCGCCTTGGTAATGATAGAACTTCATTAGAATGCCTGGAAGCAGCCAATCTTCTTCTTTATCACTCAACTTAGTAAGTGAAACGAGCGGAACTCTCCCTATACGAAGGCGCTAGAATAGGTCTTTCTAATGAAATGAGACTAGTCCTTGTTTGGAAAGAGTCTTCTTCATCGAAGATTCAGGGAATCTATCCGCAAACTCCTCTAAAAAGAACTCCCAGAAAAGTCTACCTAAATGGTGAAGAAAAGAACACATTGAGGTTGCGCAGCAAAAGATGAAATGAAAAGAGGAGTTTCAAGAATTTTCTTTTTCTATTTTCTCTTTCAAAACGTATGCACAGGGCGGGCGCCAACAACAAGGCTGTGGGTGCACTATGGCTGAGCTTACAGGTGGCATGTGACTAAAGAGCGGCCGAGCACACCAATGAGGATGAACGATTTTCTTACCCTCTACCCCCTGAAAAGCTGAAGGAACGGGTTGCAGACAGACGGAATGGACGGCATAAGTTCTCGTCAGAATCAGACTCTTTTTATGTGCGGCCGGTCAAACAAAAGCAAGGCAGTCGCAGGAGAAGCGTTGAAGAAGCAGTAGTTTAAGCCATTGACCCAGCTTCTGTTGACTATGCAGTTGGTTCTGTCGCTTCAGCGGAATAGTCAGCAGTCTAGCCTCTGACTGGGCCAGATGCATAATCACGTATGTAGGCAAGTGATCCAGTTGCTTCAGTAGAGTACATTGATTCAGATACATACAAAGAAAAAAATCTCAAGACCAAGTGCCAGTCAAGACAGATCCATTCACGGATTCTCGTGAGTGTGATTCAACAGAGTCTGCCTCTCGTGCTCGAGAGGCAGATCCAAAGCCAGTAGCTTACCTAGGAGCAGACTTCGGTATAGCATAGATAGATAAGAGAGTAGGTATGTGAACTGATTCGGAAGATTTTCTCTGGGAGTCTTTTCCGAAAACGAAGTTGACTTCCTTACTAAGCTTTCAGTAAAGTCAGGACTATGCTTCTTTTTCATTACCTCGATCTCCCAGAATCAAATTCTTTCTCTCGAAAACTCAGAATTGGAGGTCTCATTTTTTCTTACCAAAAAAACCCAATTCGGTCTTCTTTACCCCCACTCATTCTAGGGAAGAAAGCTAGCGCTTTCACTGTCTCAGTACACTTCACTATCGCCTTTAGAAGCTTGAAGTCAACTAAGGATTCCATTTCTGAAAGTCTGAAGAATTCCTCTTTTGAAATTTATTGATGTGAAAAACAAGATTTCAAGCTGAAAGTCTATGTTCCGGGGAAGAAAACTGAAAGATTCTTCTTTTCACTAGCATTCGATTTGAAGCTTGATACACAGGCGATTCAAGAATGCATTGAATTTGACTGAAGCAGGAAGAGTTCCTTTAGGTCTTGTCTTCTCCTGTATAGTGAGTCTAGTTTTTACCTGCTTGAGAGAATGGGAGCTTGGAAGAAAACTACACTGCGCTCAAGGTTCGTGATCAAGACGGATAACGTGGCTACGAGCTAGTAGAGACTCTCTTACTATAGAAAAGGAAGCATGGAAAGAGCATCCGATTCCTTCACCACTACACTATGGACTATGGGAGTGCATTGATGCCTTTCATAAGGGCTTTGCCTTTGCACTCATAGGCTGTTTGAAGCTCTGTCGGCTCTGTTCCTAAGCTTGATCTAACAGAGACCCTTGACCCCCTCGGAAAGCGAGTTCATTCATTCCTGGTTGAGAATGAGTAATCAGTCTTGCTGATTGTAGTTCGTGCTCCGAGGTTGAGTTTGTCTTCTGGCTCTCTTCTTTCGTTGCTTTCGAAAGAACCCATGAAACTTCCTTCACTAGCGCCTGACTTTTCTATATCTACAGAGATCTTCCCGAGGGATTTGCTTGTTCTTATTCCATTGCCCTCAGATCGGGCTTGATCGGCTGCTGATAGGTAAAAAACCATTAGGGGTTGTTCTCGTTTTTGTTACTCTTTAGCTAGTTTCAGTCTGTCTTTTTGCGAAGTTCCCTTCCTGCTAAAGCAATGGTCTAACATCCCTATATTAGAGCAGGATTGGATCCAGCAATGGAAGCTAGATTGCCACGTTCAAGCTATAAGTCAAGCCAGTTCATCCATGGCAATCGGGGTGTCGCTACTACTCTACTATACTCTAAGTAAGGGAGGACTCGGTCTATCTAAATGCCCTATCTGAAACTGATTTGTCAATTGAGAGAATGAGCCTATCATTGGAGCCTTCGGGGCTTGTTCCAGCTTAGAGAATGTTGTCTTCCCTCGCTCTTAGTCCTCCTTCCCGGGTGCTCTTATTGCTCTCCTTTTAGAAAGGAGAGGTCGGAAGGAACCATATTGAATGGGGTTATGGTTCATTGCCCAGGGCTGGCATGGGCGATAAAGACATCGTTTGGCCCTGAGGTTGGTTTAGTCCATTTAGTTCTCCCTCGGCTTGTTGTGCATGTTAGGCGCTAGATGTGTATTGGTCTCGGACCCGACCCGGACTTCTCAGTCTACTAAGAGGCGGATTGACTAACAGTTAGGAGTCTTTCCTGCTTAACGAATCGAATCCTTGCCCAATGCCCGGGGAAATAGGGGCTTTTTGTTTGATCGCTGCGGATAGGTGCAGTTCAGACTTCCTACTTCTTAGACGTGGGTGCTCCACACCCATGAACCACCCGCTCTTCGCTTACCCAAACTCAAAACAGCAGCACATTACTCAAGACAACGGAAGCTACTCTTTCCGGGCGAATTCCTTTCATGATCTAAGGGAAGACGCAAGAGCAAGAGCAGATCCCTATCTTCAACCGGAAGCAAAATACTAATGGGGTCACCCTTGGGAAGAAACCGAGAAAGCCTAGAAACCCGGTAAAACAGCGAAAAACGGACATCGAGCAAGGTGCGGAGCAAGCAAGAGCGGGCAACAAGGAAGACGAACTACTACCGGTCTTGGAGGTTGGGTGCGCTATGGGGTCTTGTGCGCCTGGTCTGCGATAATGATAATATGGGTATCTGTCTCGGTTCTGTCTTGGAGCTTCGTTCTTTCTCTTAGAATTGAGAATAAGGAGCGTAGGTTCAGGAAGTCCTGTCCGAAACTTCCCCTATATGGGCATGCACCACTTCCATAAGAAGTCAGGGAAGCCAGAAAACATTTGCCTGACAATGGAAGGTCACTTATATAGCTACTTATTAGATAAGATAAGACTCTGGAAACAAAGGAGCTAGAGAAAGCAAATCAATCTCTCTTGAGATACGAGATTTCCTGAAAGTCAAGAAGGCGCGCAGCGGGGCAAGGAATGAAGGAGCTCGACTGAACACCCACAAAATCTCTCTTTCAAAACAAAAAAGGTGTTTGGTTTAATGTGATCTCTGTTATGAAGAAATAGCTTGATATTTTCTTGGAATAGAAACAAATGATCAATTCTCTGTTTACTTATTTTATTCACTATAGAAATTATGGAAGATGGAATCGGAACATGGGATTCTTGGTTTGTTTTCAAATTCTCATAACATTCTGTTAGAAATCCTCTTGGAAAAGGGGAACAGTCTCAATTTCGGGTTGTACCTCATTAATGATTTCGCTTGCTTATGCAATATCTTCTATGAGCAAAGTTTCTTGTGAACCCTTTTTTTCTGATTTTCTTCAATATGGTGATAAAAATGTGCATGAATAACAATTCTCGGCTTGGAAGGAAGTCAAGAATGATCTGAATTCTATTCAGAAAGATGTGGTTGAAATAATGAATTTGTGCATGTTCAAATAGATGTGTGGTTTGAGGTTCTAGAGCACCTTCTCCTTTCAATTGAAATCAATGGTGTCCAAAAATTGATCATCCGGTAAGATTTAGGTCAAGTCCACACCAAATCCTGCTCTAAATCAGTTATCAAACACCCATTGAGTGTTAGAGCATTGAAAAAATATATATATAAAAGATCCATTACAAGAGACATGTGAAGGCATACGAATTGTATACGATATATATAAATGCCACTAAATTCTGTCAACTCCTTTGTTGTGTCACTTTAGCTTTACTTCCTACATTGAAAATCACGACATTTCCTTGCAAGGCTTGTGATATTATTCTTTTGGGATGATTTACATACATACCACTTAATTCCTATGTATTCATAATTCTAACACCTGAGTTTGACTTTTCACATTTAGACCACCCAATTCTTTCATTCATATCACTTACTTCCTATGTCTTTCACAGACTTCATTTTTTTTTTTTCACACTTATGCAATTGAAATCCTCTTGATTGAATCGTGGAATTGGAGTAAATATTTGCTTCATTTGCGGTGCTTGGGGTGATGGAGAGTAAGATGAATTAACCGGTGTGATAATGTCGGATGTTTGGGAGGATTTGTTTGCTTGAAGTGGCAGTGTATTTCAGTTTTTTTTTTCTGGAATGTGTGGAGGTATGATTCTCGATATGGTAGAATCAAATTGAGAATTTTGTTTATAGGTTAGGGTTGAAATACATGTAACCTGGAATTGAAAAATTGTTTTTATGTTATTTACATCATGTTAGACCAAAGACTGCTTTGTTGCTAAGCATTGTACTTGTTCCCGTCTTCACCAATTATGAAGTAAACAAAATTCTATATTTGGCTATCTTGCAAAAAAAATATACATATGGATGTGAAAGTTGAGCCAGTACTCATTATTGGGCTTAGGTTCAGTTATTCCTACCAATCGATGGGATTTTGTGTTGACCTCATTCATTTGAATCAGATAACTTTGATTGTTTTAATGCTGATTATAATGGAAAACCACGATTAACAATGCTTTTTAAGTCTATCTCCTTAACTGAAATATTTGGAATGTGGATTTCCCATATTTTGTGGGAATACATACATAATACCTTCATTTTATTGTATATACATATACATATTTTTTTTTTCTTTCTTTGCTTCAACTTTGTGAATTTATAACACACACACAATTCTTACATATTTACCTATCCCCCACTTAAAGTTTCATATTCACATATATATATTATCCAATTCCTACATATTGACAAAACTAACATCAACATTTTGCTGTCGTGATTTCCTTCTTTTTA